AGCAAACTCTCTGTTGCAGACCCTGTCCTACTCCTTTTACCAAGGCTGTCCCCTCCATGTAAGCCTTCTCCTTCCCACCCACACCTACCAGGCTGCCTCCCAGCATCCTCCATCTCTGCTGTCACTTTTCAGATTGACTCTACAAAGAAAACTTGCAGCTGCAGGCCTAGAGCTGCAGGTCTTAGGGCAAAGAAAATGCTCAAGCTTAGCAAGAAAGCAGTGGGGAAAAGCCCTTAATCCAATCACAGGGAGGCAGGAGACTGTCCCAGTTTAGCCAGAGACCTGGGACCTCCACGATACACACTGCCACTGGCCAGCAAACCCAGATAGGTTTGAAACCTCTCAAAGCGAAGGCACGGGCAACCTTCAGTTGAACTGACATCTCCTGCTGCCCCCAACAACACAGCACAGTGAAGCCCAACAGATCAATGGTGATGAATGGCATGGAGCTAGAACATGAGGATAGGTGGGTGCTGGGATTTCTGCCACTGCCCAAGGCTCAAGAAGTCATTACTCATCACAGCGGCTTGACCGACTGACAGCATCCCAGGGCACAGTGATCAGTCACATTTCGGAGCCCAGTGCTGGTCTCCTGAGGCTCCTGGGCAGGAACCAGGGCATGGGCAAAACCTGGGTTAAGTGACCTAACCCCTAGGTTGGGCTGTCAGTTCAGCTCTGGGGTGCTGGTGGAGGCTCACATGGAGAGCACAAAGAGAACATGCACATCTCCAGCTTCACAGGATCTACTGCAAAAGTCATCTGGGGACCAAGCGTGTTCAGAATGCCATAGGGGATGCCTGCCAGGCACCAGCCCACACCATCTACAGTCATGAGAGCTAAATTAACGCTCCAGCACTTGGGCACTTGTGCTCACAATGCCTCCAGTGCGCTGCGTGCCACGCTCCTCATAAACAAGTCATCTGGAAAATAAGTAAGCCTGTAAAAATCCAGCCCATCACAAGTTACCAAACCTGTTTCAGAGTAAAACAACCTACAGCAGCTCAAGGCAGGAGTGGGGTGGTAGAGCTGACCCCAGCCTCCCCACCAGTGGTGGGGGGGCAGCAAAACATCCCTGGCACAGATGGCAGCACAGGGATGAGACATGGGACTCGTTTCAAACAGGAAGGTACCTCCAGCATCAGGGCCATCTAGCAAAGAAAAGCTGGTGTCTTTTCCCTCTAGAGACCTAAAGCTTTTGAACCACAGAAGCAATCAGCTGGGACAGGTAAGAAAAGTGCACGGGCCATCTCTGCACTGGGGCTGGCAGCCAAAGCTGGCAGAAGATCAGAGTTTCTGGTACAGACTTGAGATTCATCTCTTCCTGTGCTCCTACCAAGTGTTCACTTCTTTTTCCCATACTTCAGAAAGCACCTGAGCTGGCCTTATCCAGGGTGCTGCCAAGAAAGCAAGCCCAAACCCACCAAGAGCTGATGGACTCAGAAGCATAGTCCCTATCTCCCCCTGATTTGCTAAACGGGCACTGCTCCATAGCCAGTGCTGGGTGCTGCTGCTACATGCCTGCAGGTCTCAGCACCACATGTTTTCTCCCTCTGAATGTTCAAAACCACCAGAGACCTTCAGAATGTGGAGAGATTTTCTCCCAGTTTCTCCAAGACATGTTGCAAGCTAGGTCAGAGTGAAATCTATCTCCATCCCCTGAAACAAAACAGAAGCAGCAGCAGCGCCTCTACCCAAGCCCTTTTCCATTGGTGGCACCTCCAGCTGAGGACAGACAGCTGGGACATCCCCAAGCAAGCTCTGTTGTACCTGGCCTCAACCAACCATGTCCCACACAAAGACGAAGCAAACATGGTAATAACCTGCTAATGAGTCCCTTTCTTTGGTTGCTGGTTTCTGACCTGTGCTCCAATCCCAGCAACCCATTTTTCCCCTTTTTGAATGAGAAGAAAAAAATTAAAATAAACAGCAACACATCAACTTCACACTGGAGCAACTTTCCTTTTCAACCCTGGAAGCAGGGCCCCCCAGACTGGGGAGACAGCAGGTTCCCCCATGCAGACAGAAGGCAGGTCGCTGGGGCAGCAAAGGCAAAGATGGAAGAAAAAATGTTTCGTTTTGAGACCTTGACACAAACAGAACGACAAGAAGAAAAAGAAAAGAAGAAAAAAAGAGGGTGGGTTGTTGGGGTTTTTTTTTTCCCCTCCCCTCTCCTCTTCAAGCACTACAAAAACAGGAAACAAAGGAGAAAACATCTCACGGGGGGAAGGCGAGGTAAGCGCTTTATACGCCCACGAAAGAAAGATTAACCACATTTTATTTACTGTTTGCATTAGGGTTGCGCTGTGGAGTTCAACCAATTCTGAGCCAGGGCTCTGCGGGTTTGCACAGCACCTAATGCTGAGCTGTCCCCAAACCCACCAAGCGCACACCTCCGCTTCCAGCAAGCCCTCCACAGACACCCTCCTTCCTCCTGCGAACACACACCTCTGGCCCCTTTTGCCCAGCACAAGCTTTCTTGCCCTAAGTGCCAGCTTACAGCTGAGAAAGCGCTGGTGCTGTCCCCAAGGAGTTTTGAGTCCCTTTTCACCTTCGAATCAGTCTGTAACCTGGGAATGATGCCCTCTGAGGTGGGCTAGCATTAGAGCCAGAGTTATGAATGCTAAAGAAGGTGAGTTTATGGGGAGTGTGTTTGCAGGCTCCTGTCCCTCCTCTGGGCTATGGGGCCACCCCAACCACACGGGGTCATGTCACCCACACACTCACAAGTCCCCCCCACCAAGGGCAGGGCTCTGAGCCTCCAAACTTTGACTCATTTCTCAATTAACGGCTTCCTGAACGCGACCCATGCATGGAACAAACCTCTCACAACGGGGCCTCCCCCAGACCTCCCGAGCCCAGCGTTACTCATCCGCCCCCCGGCTCCGGCTCTCCTTTCCTGGGATGCTCCAAGAGCAGCTCACTGCTGCGGGGTGAGCAAGCAGCCAGGAATCCGGGCCTGGCTCCTGCAGGCGGGAAGCCGTCACCAGCTGAGTGCACGCACCCTAATTCGGGAACCAACACAGCCACCGGCTGGCAAGGGGCAGCTTTCAACCAGAGACCTGGCCAAGGCCACGCAGGGAGGGCCAGCAACCTGCCAGGCGTTTTTCCTGTGGGCTCTTTCCTACTCCAGCCTCTCCATGGAGGAACTGCTTCGACTACAGGGGGGGATTCTTGTGCCGTACCCAGCTTTGGGCTGTCCTCCATTGCCCCAGCACCCAACCAAGCCATGCGCCCAGAGAGAAGAGACAAGCTTATCATCGCAGAGAAAGGAAATTAAGATAACGCAGCGATGGAGGTACCGAGGGATTTGGCCAAGGTCACAAAATAATTCTGCGGCACTACGATACAGCCGTCCGACGCTTGAGGTGCCTGGCCACATACCCTAACATTTCAAGCCAGGGCCAAAACCCAGCCTTAGCCGGTGGCAGTTTTCTGCCAGGTCATTAGTAGCGTGCATCCGCAAGGAGCAGCGAACAGCCAGCCATAACAACGGCAGCGACAACAAAAAAAACCCCACGCAGCGAGAGCGGGAATAGATGAGATCAAAGTGTCCTGGAAAAGGACCTGGAAAAACAGTTTTGGTCCCTGGCTAAGGCTCCCGGGAAATGCACACGCGAGCCCCATCCCAGCCCCGCATGGCCCTCCCGGGGTGGCTCCCCACCCTGGCAGAGGGAGACCAAAATGCCTCCCTATAAATAGAAGCAGAAGAGCGCTTTTCCAAAAGCCAGGCTGGGTCTTTCCCCTCTGAGCGCGTGTGGCAGAGCTGCTGGCACCTCTGCGGAGGTCTCTGGTTTTCCCCAGAAAAACCTGTAGAGGAAAATAACCTTCCTGTGAGCTCGGGCTGGCTCCTCTCTGCACAGAGCTGCACACTCCCCCCCCAGCCCAGGCCTGGCCATCCAATTGGAAAGTAATTATACTGCAATTTTTATTTATGACTTCTTGGGGTTTTTTTTATTGCTAAATGGTGACTCATTTTGGCAACATTAAAATACACAGGAAATCATCCCCATTTTACAGTAATCACCATTCAATTCATTGTTAAATATTTATTCAGTGGACAAGCGCTGGGCCTCTTTCGAAGGGTCGGAGAGGGAGCAGAGGGGCAGCCCTGGGAGGGGAGAAGGTGGTGGTGGGGTCATGGCAAGGCTGTTAAATGCCCACCACCAACTTCAGGGTGGGAAACCAAGGGTGAAAGCTCCTGCCAGATGGCCTGGCCACGAGCGAAATACATTTGCTTTCCCTCGAACCCAGTGTTACGCCCCATGTTGCTTTAGGAAGAGAGGGTCAGCACTGTGCCCCCTAATAAAACCCCATTATTTGGCCAAACGCCCAAATCCCAGCCAGAGAGAAGCTGTGGGTCTCTGACATGGAGCTGTTCATCGCCGGGGGGAAGGGGATGGCAGTGGGAAGAGCCGGCAGTTTGACATTCACAGGCCTTACAATGGATGTGGTCTGTGTCTACGGCCGCTTTGTCCCCCCGGGGAACCCAATCTGGGGGCGACTCGACCTCGGATGTGGGCAGCTCCTCTGCCTTCCCCCAGCGGCTGCATACCCCAGCGGGAACTGCGGAGATGACCCCTCCAAACCCCCCTGGCCCACAGTCTCGCCTCTTCCCCACACAGCCCAGACCCAAGCAGCCTCAGGTCCTATGGCTGAAGGGCTCCAAAGACCTCCCATCACAGATGCTCTTCCTTAGGGAGCTCCTCAGCACCCATGGGCTCTGTCACTGCTGGGCTGGGGAGGCCACCTAACATGTCCGCCACAGGGGGACCGGGCAGAGGAGGAACAGCAACGGGGTGGGTTTTGTGTAGGTCCTACACAAACACAGGCCTCTGGGGAACAAGCACAGCACGGGAGAGGGCGACAAGGGTGAGAGGTGGCCCCCCCGGACCGGACAAACCCCCGTGTCCACGCAGGTCGGACTCACCCTGATCTCATTGCGGCGGATCTCCACGTCGCAGACCGAGTGTCCCTGGTGGGCG